CAGACAGACTGAAATTGATATTCTCTAGTTTCAGCGGGGGGCAACAAACGAGCAAGCTTAGCCAGTTGTGTTTTTTTTCGAAGTATCTGTTGTATGACTTAACAAGTCTGTCCGCTATTTAGCATCGGGATCGAAATGATTTGTAGTGAAAACGAGAGTTAAAGCAGTAAAAACTGAAAAACTAAAAATATGTTATAAACCAATGTTTGTGCTGTAGATTTAAATACATTAGTAAAATACCTTCAATATATTTTGTAAAAGAGCTCCAATTTACGCGCCAAACACTAAATTCATCCAACAGTAGCAACTGTATGCTTCGCTGCGTAGAACACATGATCAGGTGCGAACCAGTTAAATTACTGCGAACCAGTAAACTGTTTGAAACCTTCTATACAAAAATAAGCATCGGGAAATTCCTTTTTTGAGTTAAATTTACAGATTACTTTGGTGTTTAATAGGGATTTGTTGGTTTATAATCTATATTGATTTTACTGAAATAAAATTAGCAGGAGTGATTTACTGCAGAACCACTCCCAGAATTCCAGGTCACGCAAGCGCATTGGAAGTTCTTCGTACCATAACTAGTCAGCCCGCGGGCTGACTAAATACATGAATTCTTTGAAAATCTTCTTCTCTGCTCCTAGGTATTAGATAAACTAACTAAGTACATAGTTATGATGAGCAAGAGTGCCTCAACCAAAATTGTGAATTTTATGGCCCCATGCAGGGTCAGGGGTTCTGGTGTTGGGGGTGGGGCTCTATTGATTATACAGTGAAAATACATGAATTCTTTGAAAATCTTCTTCTCTGCTCCTAGGTATTAAATAAACTAACTAAGTGCATAGTTATGATGAGCAAGAGTGCCTCAACCAAAATTGTGAATTTTATGGCCCCAAGGTCAAGGGTTCTGTAATGGGGGGGGGGGTCTATTGATTATATGTTGAAAATACATGAATTCTTCGAAAATCTTCTTCTTTGCTCCTAGGTATTAAATAAACTAACTAAGTGCATAGTTATGATGAGCAAGAGTGCCTCAACCAAAATTGTGAATTTTATGGTCCCAGGGTCAGGGGTTCTGGTGTTAGGGCGGGGCTGTATAGATTATATAGTAAAAATACATGAATTCTTTGAAAATCTTCTCTGCTCCTAGGAATTAAATAAACCAACTAAGTACATAGTTATGATGAGCAAGAATGCCTCTTCTAAAATTATGAATTTTATGGCCCCAGGGTCATGTGTTAGAGTGGGGCTCTATTGATTATATAGTGAAAATACATTAAATCCTTGAAAATTTTCTTCTCTGTCTCAGGGTATGAAGCAGATGAACTACTTATATAGTTATGATGAGCAAGGGCCCTAATCTTGCAGAATTGTGAATTTCAAGGCCCCAGGGTCCGGGGTGGGGGGGGGGGGGCTCTACTTATATACTGAAAATGATTAATTGTTTGAAATCTCCTCCCTTGTATAAAATTTATAAAACATTTATTTATTTTTTGATAGGCAATTTTATGGGTGCCTTTTAAAAATTTGTGCAATGTGTGAACCTAGGGTCAGGGGTTTATGTCACAGTGTTAGGGGCACTACTGATTATTGCCGAATATTACTGATTAGTTGGAGTGCATTTTTGTCCCCCTACCCTGCATATGGGTATTCAGTAACCAAGCTAAGCAACCGATAAGTGTATTATTATGATGAACAGTGGTGCCTCTTTCAAAATTGTAAATGCCATATAACATCTGGCTTAAAACATGAATCAAATTCAATACACTGTAACTAGAAAGTTGTTGCATAATGCTCAGGTGACCTATAAGGCCCTTGGGCCTCTTGTTTATTATGATATTCTATAATAATTTCAGGAAGAGGTTGTAATTCTTTACCAAAGAAAAAACTAACATTGTTAATAAAACGTACTGTAATTTACTTATTAAAAAGTTACATTTTAGAAATTACAAATTAATATAGCAACCAAGAAACTAGCTTGCTTGAAACTATTTTTGAATGGTCCTTAGATACTAAAGTATTCTGACACAGAAAAAAAAACATTTTCTTCTTTTGCTTTCTTTGCCTGTAGTATAAAATGAAGTATTTACTGTACATTATTGTTCAGGATTTATGTTTGAATGTATTTTCCTTGTTGTTTATTTCAGACATCAATGAAGAACAAGAATTAATTGCCCATCAGCAGCAGTTACCTGCCCTTGTCATAGAGGTTAACTTATATAACTATTGCTAATTGCCATTATGTTTTTATCTTCACCTATTGATGTTCACTTTATATCAATTAACTCACAAATCCAATTTAACAAAACTTGGAATAATGAAATAGTGATTTTAAAACAAAATCACTTTTCTTGTAGAACCTTGGCATGGAGCCAAACAATATGAGAGTTCTCTCCCCTGTACAGCTGATAGAGGTATGTATCAGTGGGGACTTCCACCTTCATTTCTGTCTCTATTGATTGTAGACCATAAAGAAAAATTGTACAACACATTTAGTACTCTCTTGCCATTAAATGCTTATATTATAAATTTTATTGAATTATTTAACTTCTTTTCCAGTTATACATCTCAGGAACAAACATTGATGCCACGGAATGTGATTTCAAGAAAGCTCTGGATCTCTTACAATACATAGACAAGGTAAATGTATAAAAATGTGAGTACAGTAGAACACGGTTATAGCGAAGTCCTGGGGCCCTGTGAATTTAATTCGCTATATCCGTAATTCGTTATATCCGTATAACGAATTCGTATAACCATATATAGCGAATTCGCAATATGCATGTTTTCCTTCAAGGGTTACTATTAAATATGTTAGGGAAGCAAATATTACAAAACATACCTTCGATAACTAAGGTTTTATTATGAATTGAATTTTATATACAAATGCTGAGAGAAAATAAAGTCAGTTCAATTATCCAAATTTTGAAATCTTTTAAATTTCTTTATAAAAGAGGTAAAATTCATTATATTTAACCTCAACGGGACTCAAAATCAGTTCGCTATATCCGTAAATTCGTTATATCAGAGTTCGTTATAACCGTAAAATTTTACAAAGATTTGTTAAGAATTTTGCCGCGGACCAAGAAAAACTTCATTATATCCGTGAATTCGCTATATCCGTGTTCGTACTAAACGTGTTTTACTGTATAATCAAAAAAATTTATTAATTACACATGTACATAGGAATTTGAGCAATAAATAAACAACTGACAGGGGTATCTTTACTTATTAATGTTGGCTGTCTCAGAAGATTCAAAATTTTTGTAGAAGATAGATTTTAAGAACAGCTAGCTTCCTTTTCCAGTTTAAAGTATTTTTATAAATACATGTACCTCTGAAAATATTAGAACAGAGATATTCAAATATGGAAAAGAATGGTACCTCTAATTTTTTTTTATGGAAGACTATATTAAATCCTAGAGTTTTCAGCATTTATTTTCTTTCAGACTGACCCATCAATAGACTTTGAAAGTCTGAGGATGCACATCTGGGCCAAGTCTATTCTTAGAGACAGGTAAGGCTCAGGTAGAACTATAGAATCATAATATCTGTAAGGTAGTTAAGTTTTTTGCTCCATTTGCCTGAAGTACATGGAGAAATTGAATGGAATTTCAGGTCATCTGGGGTTTTCAATGTGACAATAAAGATTTATTTTAAAGGACAAATTTTCATTGCATAAATTATTTTTATACTTTAACAAAATACAATTAAAGAACAAAGGTTGTGTTTTACATTAACAGCTGGCAACAAGATGATTCAGTGGATGTTATGGAGACCATCATGAATACTGTGTTCTTCAAAACAGTGGACCTGGCTTACAAAGAAGGTAGGTTATTATCAAGATGTGTTGGTCTTGTAATAAGGTATGTTTATACATGTAATTTTAATAGCTTTTTCACATGGGTTTGTTTTTGTGTGTGCATCATTGGAATTTTAATGTTTTTGTATTTGAATTTTCGTTGAAAAAACAATCTTTCTGTAAACAGTTTCTTTACCTGTTGAATATAAGAAACAATTTTTTTTTCTAGAAAGCAATGTTATTATAAAATTGCTGAAAACAATGATTTTTACTGACAAAGACAATAGTTTTGTCTTGGGTGAACTACTACTAAGTTTTTTTTTATATTCTGATAAATTAAAGTCATTACTTTCTTTATTCAGGAATGGACGTGAAGACGTTTATGCCAGAATTGAGGGCAGTGTTAAATTGTGATGAACTTGGAGAACTTAAGGATAATGCTGGCTTTCAGTATTTGATACAAGCTGGATATGAACATATTGGACAAGTGTTATGATTTATGTCAAGTCACAGATGAGTCTGCATTGGATACGAGTTTTGTATGAACATATTGGATATTAAGTGTTATGATTTATGTAAAGTGTACTAGAAGTGTACAGGCAATATACTGTACAGGGGGAAAATAAATCGCGGTGTTAATATTCGCTATATTCACGGTGTTGATAAATCCGTGAATTCAAGAAAAAGTGAATAAGTTTTCAATAGGTATGGATGAGGAAGGAAACTTTTATTATACACCAAATCCGCGAATTCAAGAAACCGCGACAGTGTCAGAGAAGAGAAAAACGTGAAATTTACAACCCGTGAAATTAATCACCTATACAGTAGTTAATGTGCAAAGTACGAAAAGGTAGCTCAGCAATAATGCAATGTGCAGTAGATTTAAGGTGTCAATTAAAATTAGTTGGAAGGATTTGTTGAAATAAAAGATATGAATTTACTCTTTTTTCCTGCTTTTTTTTCTTTCATACTGTATAGCAGGTTTCTTAAGCGGGTGAAAAATTTGACGGTTTATTTCTTGACAAATGGTTCATGTATACACGTATTTTTTTCCTAACATGGCGTTCAAGTCATTACCGTAATTTTATATCAGTTAAAACATATAAAAGGGAAATGCTTGGGAAACATTGTTTAAAGAATGGGTGGACTTAACTGGCCAGAAAAAATGCCGTAAATTTAAGTTTCACAAAATGTTTTTTTTTTCATCATATAAACCCCCGATATCTTAACCCTGTATTCATGGTACGGATGTGAATTTAAAACGCTTTTTTCGAGGTAAACTAAATAAATATCGAAGGCATGGTGCCTGAAGATTTCTTGAATGTCAATAGATAATCAGGGTCACGCGTTTTTCATCGTCTAAATACATATTCAGCACATGTTTGTCGGGTATTCTTAAAAAAACTGTAGTCGTATATTGAACAAAATAATGTTATATTAAAAGGAGAAGAGCCGACAAAGGTGTGCTCACACTTAATTTAGCAAAAAAACATGTTCGAAAGAAACTTCTCGCTTCCATTGTCATGTCTTCAATTGACCTGTTTAATATTACAATTCATCACGTGATGTCCACCTGCGAGTGTACTCGTGAAAACAGTTACATTGTATTCTACAACCTGACCTCGATCTAAATTATGTCTTTGAGCGTGGTTTGTTGCCGTTTTCAGAATTTTAGCAAAATAAATAGTTTTAATTTTGCGTGTCATTACATTTTTAAAATAATAACATCGCTGTAATATGCTAAACACGTATTCGAATTTCTGGAGAGAGAGAAGGATAGAGAGAGAGATGTCAACAATGACGCCGATCGATAGCTCCGCCTCCTATAAATATTGATTGTGTGACATAAAAACCACTCCGGGTACATGTCGAATTCCGGAAGACGACACTCATGTATCGTTGCTTCAATTTTGATACATGACAACATGGCATTGTTTTTGCACAAATATTCCACCTAATATAACCAAGTATATGTAGGTCTTTCCATTGCTCATAATATATTTTGGATTCACTTCATTTTCAGCTTGGTAGAGGAGTCGCAAAAAGATCCAAAATAGGGCGTTAAGTCCACCCATTCTTTGATGATTATTTGTACTGTGTAAAGCTTGCGAAAATTGTTGATTTCGAGCTTAATCTTTGAAGAGATTGTTGTTTTTCTCTATATATGTAGCTTGCAATTAGATGTTCTTATGTTTTTTGACGCGGTTTATTGAATGAGGTAAATGTAAATTGCAACAGGTCCCATTTTAATGGACACTTTACCTGTAAAGCATGTAGAAAGACCATTTAGATAAAAACAGTTACTAGCTCCACCCACTGCAATTCGATTGCAAAACAGTTTGTCAAGTCTTCTGCCTAATGCCATGTACATATTATTAAATATTCAACTAATCAGCATCTAGGAAGACAGCCAATTAAGACAATGGATGGAGGATAGTCCAGAATCTTACTTAATGTGAAAAGAATCAGCTAGTTTGGTGAGGTGTATTCTATATTTTAACTCAGTCAAATCAATATGATTTAAAACATCAAGGAATGGATTTTGTTTGTTGATTTACAAATGAATATTAATTTTTAATATAATAGATAGAATATTTAGATTGCAGAATACATTACTTTAAACAGGGTATACATTATAAGTTATGTACATGTTATTAATCAGCATCTAGGAAGACAGCCAACTAAAACGATGGATGGAGGATAGTCCAGAATCTTACTTCATGTGAGAAGAATCAGCTAGTTTGGTGAGATGCATCCTATATTTTAACTCAGTCAAACCAATATAATTTATATCATCAAGGATCGAATTGATTTTATTTGTTGATTGACAAATTAATTTAAATTCTCAATATAATAAAAAATATAATGTTTGCATTACATTAATGTAATGTTATATTTTTCAATTTTTTTTTACAGCTCTTTTATCAGATTGATGTAGAGAGGATGTTTAAAGAGTTTCGGTCCAAATATATTTTGGTAATAAAGGTTATGATGAACTTCAGTGTATACATTATAAGTTATCTGAACTCCTTTGTTCATTACTTGGACAGAGAAACTTTTTTTACTTTCTTACCTATTCAAACTTCCAAATTGCTTATAGTATGACCTCTTATTAGAAAGGACTTCTGTGTTTCATCATTGATTCTTACCTTCATATTTCATGTTGCTTAGAAAAAATGCTTTAAATATCAAATCTAAAGCCGATAGATTAATTTATACGAGGGTTGTCCAAAAAGTTCGTGGACAATGAGGTTTTTGTCAAAATAAAGGGTTCTTTATGCATCTATTGTATATCAAAATATTTTCTATGAAAAACCAAGTCAGAATGATTTAATTTTTATAGATGGAACGTTAATATTTTTGTAAAAACCGGGGTCTTTAAAGATCGCAGATTTTGCGCACGGACCAGTCTGACATTAAGCTAATTTCATTATAACGTCAAACAGTTTCATGTTGACTTAACACATGTTTATGGACACGCACTATATTTCTTTTTTAAGGCGCAACGCAAGTCCAAGTGCTAGCAATAATCTTTAAGTATTGATTATAAATTATGTTATTTTAAAAATTCAAAACAATGCACAAAAATTAACGAGCGTCATCTAAATAAACAGTTTGTATACACAAACTGCACAGCCCAGTCCGACGCTGTGCTAGATTTATAACAACGCAATGAATAAAAATCTCCATTTTCAGTGAATTACACTTGTTTCTTGTAGCGTCTTCGAAATTGTACACACCGTTGAAAAATTGTGTATACAAATCTGAAATTCATACACCAAATATATTTCAGTAATTTTGAGTTGTTTTAAGAAATATTTTGTCTTTTACGTCGTTTCAACCGCATACAAACTTTTTTTTATCGGACGCTGCCCCGTACGGACGTCCGACGTCGCTTTTTTTTTGTCGAGTTTTGACACATATCTGTTAGGGTTTTTATTTAGTATTTGTACTGTCTGTATAGTAAGCGATACTTAAGATATCATAAAATGATTATAGCCTCTTTATTTGTGTTACATAAAATTTTTATTAAATTTTGACTTGTCTTATATAATAAATATTCATTTTAATCCGAACACTTTATATTAGAATTTATGTCATTTTAACCTTGGAACGTGCGCACTATCTGGGACCTTTAAAGACCCCGATTTTTACAAAAATATTACGTTCCATCAATAAAAATTAAATCATACTGATTTGTTTTTTTCATAAGAAATATTTTCATATACAACAGATTTATATAGAACCATTTCTTTTCACAAAAACGTCATTGTCCACGAACTTTTTGGACAACCCTCGTACACTGAACGAAGTCCAGTTAGTTAGTGTAATTACCAGAAAAAAAGTTTATTTACTTCTTAAAAGAGAGTGGTAATTTATGCAAATCTTTAAATTCAATTTGTATGTTGTTTAGAACCAGGACTCACATCAGTACTCAGCTAAAGACGTGGTTGTTGGACATACAGCCCACACGGTAAGTCAGAGGGTTCCACCGTCTTATAATTAGAAATAATTTATTATACACATTTTCTGAAAGAGAGGAAAGTATACTGTTTTACCCTTGTGAGTAAGTCTGTTGGAACAAATTTTGTCGCTGTTTTCTTAGCAACTACTCATTGCAGATGCTTGGAACTTTAGCACAGGCTTTGTATAGGCATGCCATAATTTGGGGTTCATTTCTGTTTGATTCCAAGTCAACTTTCTGTTATCTGTGTGTCTGTCCACACCAAATTTCAAGTTCTGGTTTTTTGTTTTTTTTTTTAGATATTTGAGCAATTTTTGGACTTATAGACATACCAATGTAGGAGGGTTGTGTGTGTGTGTGGCATAACTGTTTCAAAAATCTCTCTTGTTTATTTTTGAAGGCCACCATCAAAATTTGAAAATTCTTTGAAATATTTAAGAAATGAAGCTTATTTCAACTTATATTGTACGATATAACATAACCGCGAAGCGTTATAATTTAATTTCAGTGCAGACATTGAGTTTTTTTTCCAGAATAAGCCTTCACATTGATTAAATTTTAA